CTACAAGGAGCTTTTTTTTGCATGTTAGAAGGCTGCTAGGTCTCCTAACTTTCTCCACCCCAAACTCGGTAGCTCTGATTTGTTCAAACCTTCCCTCTAGTCCACTACTTAGCCCTCTTGTTGTTGTTGTTCTCTGGTTTCTCTCCAGCTGATCTGCAGATTTCTTGAAGCTGGTACTGCACAAGATGCAGCTCTGCTGATGTGTTAGCAGTGCTGAGTGTAACAAGGTGGATGGCGTGCATACAAGCATTCTTATACACCCTGGTATAAAGCTAATTTTTTCAAGATTGACATTGTTGGCATCATGAAGCCAACCATCTTTCTTGTGTTTGGACAGTTGATCACATCTAAGTATAAATGCAAAATACCATTCCCTCACCCCCACCACTTCACAAATTTGTTGAGATTATTTGGAGTTCTCCATCCTTTTTATTAAGCATCAATTAAACCCCCCAACTTCTGATAAAGTTGTAGGATTTCACCACTAATGGAGTATTTACAGTGGCTCTCTTAAGTGCATCTGGATAATTTGGACCACACTCTGCAGTCTTTTCATATGAGCCTTTTTATTCATATATATGTGAAGTAACTGAGGCAGATGTAATCTTTTTATCTTCCTCTTGCCTCTGGACTATTATTTTGACTTTAAATGTTAAATAAAACTTTCAGCACAGTCATATCTTGTCTGTCATTTTTCTCTTTATGAATGTAGTTTCATGACTTCCTTGAGTTTACTGCTCTGTTTGCTTCTGTCCCTACAATTCATTGCAATCTTGCTGACATTCTTTCAAACTTCAGGAAGCATCAGCACACTTTCACCTGTTTGATCAGTGATGGTTTGTTTGCCGCGTTAATCTGTATTTTCACTATTTCTTTGTAGGTAGACCACTGGTAGGAGTAGTGTAATAAACTGCCACCACTGGGTGCTAGCTAGCTACACCTAACTCGGAAGTGCTGACATGTGGAACAATACCCATTGCATGATCAGTCAAAGAAATCTAGAGGTTTTTCTAAGATTGTAAGTCATATCCCACATGTGTTGTAGCTTGTTTTGCAGTACGTAATTATTCAGCTTATCATTATTGAGTAATGTTAGCATGGGTACAGATTCTTTCTTTTTCTGCATGAATTAAGATGACTTCAGTATTTTTCCTTCTTTTGTTGTCTATGAGTTTTCTGGCAATGGAGCTTCTGAACTTATTTAAGTTAGCAGCTGAGAAGAGGGTAATTTTTTTTCTATGCATGCTACCTGCCAAGGAACAGAATGAAAGTTTATGGAGTAGAGTGGCTCCAGCAGTAAACGAAAACTAACTAAGAACAAATAAGTTTGAGTACCTCAGGTCACTCTAACAAGAACGTTTGATCTACACTGCTGAATCTATACTTCAGCAGAGTATTGGCACTGGTTAGTCACATATTACCTGTGGATGAATTCAAAGAACAGTCTACTTGTGTTTTATTTAAAAGATGCAGCATTTTCTTGTTTTCTACTGTGTTTCACACTTTCTCTTCTCACATTGACTGTATGTCACAGGACATACTGAGTAGTAAAAGGATGCATGTGACTCAAGTGTTTAGGAGCATAATTCTTTTTCTGGACGCTATATCCCTGATCTTAAAGAGGATGTAAGCACCTGAGGAAGGAATTTGCTGAAACTTAGATAAATCATTCCAGTCCATATTGGATTGGCAACTCCAAATCTATATTAAGAGTTGCCAATCCAAATGTAGTCCCAAAGTCTGCCAATGTCTTCTCTTTCTGCTGGGGTCCTGAGCAGCTGCATGGCTGCCAAGGTGGAGCAGCAGTGCGCCATCCACAGTCTGAAGCCTCAGTAGGATCATCAGGTCAGTTGTCTCTGTCCCAAGTGCTTATATGCATGTGCTCAAATACCTGTTTGCACAGTGTCACTAAAAGCTTTGAATCCCATAGAAGTGCTTTCAATATCATCTGTCTTGTTTCTAGACCTGCAGAGGTTTTAGACTTTTTCCAGTCATCCAGTGCTTACTGTAACTATAATAACCATTAAAAGGTGAAGGGGATGCAGGTTTCCTTAAGCATTAGCTCTGAGGTGTGACTTGCCAATGTTACATGTTTTGTTAGTCCTCTGTCTTAGAGGCATCGAATGTGTCGTGATAACTATTCAATCTTCTAGGCAAAGCATGTGAAAAAGATTAGATGACCTATGTAATTTACAGCAAATGATATCTAATTGGTATGCCACAGTGAATAGACCTTGTTTGTAGGCAGGGCATCACTAATTTTTTCCCTAATTCAATGCTCTTTTTGATAACACAACTTTAAAAGAAAAGCAGCAATTATCATGAAATAAAATAGGTGTGAATAGTGTTAATCAGAAACCTAATAGGAATATGTAAAGCAGAAACACTTGACGTTATTTTCATTCTTTAAATTATTCCTAAAGATGTCATAACCCGTCAAGCTGTGGCCATTTTTCTGATTTGAAAACCTTTCATTTCAGCAAAAAGTGAAATGTTTCCATGGAGATCAGCCAGAGATAGCCAAATGACGAACTTCTTGGCTGTACTTGCAGTTTGGTTTCTATGGTTTCCAGACAAGGGCGGGGGGAGTGAAGTTGCTGAGATTATTTTTTCTTTCTTTTTCTGCATGTGAAAGGTGAGTGTAAACCATGAGAGAGAATTGAAATTAGTGTACTAATTTGTGCTGTACTACGAGCAAAGGTAACCTTTGTCTTCTAAGACCTTGAAAAATCTTGTATAGATCATATTATGCAGTCTTGCATCTTCACTTACTCTAGGGAAAATGAATTGCTTACAACAAAAAATAAAAACTTTTTTTAGCATTATGAATAAAGTTATGAGCAGGAAAAATGTTTGTAATGACTAGAGGTACCTTGATTGTGCCCTACAAAATGTGAAAATGATAGCAAGATTGATAGTGTGTACTTGTGTACTTTTTTGGAAGTAAAAGCAGATGATGAGATGTTGTCGGAGAACAACGGGAGACAAGCACAAAAATGTTTGTAATGACTAGAGGTACCTTGATTGTGCCCTACAAAATGTGAAAATGATAGCAAGATTGATAGTGTGTACTTGTGTACTTTTTTGGAAGTAAAAGCAGATGATGAGATGTTGTCGGAGAACAACGGGAGACAAGCACATCCGATGATGATCAAGTCTCAGTTTATTTAGAAATATCTTATTACTTATATAACAGAGTTAATTAGCTCATACATATTGCAAAAGCCAAGCTCCTTATAGGTGGTTATAGTAGAAGGCTATAGTGGATACAGTAGAAGGCTATGCACTTTTCCCAGGACATTATCTATATTGTTTTCTGGTTTCTAAGCCAAGAGCCTGTTTCTATCTCCTGCTGCACATTTTTCTGTCCTAGATTGTACTGTTCCGTGCCCTGCCTACGTGTCCAGCTGCACTTAAGCAGGTCTTGTGAACTTGTTCTCATGCCCCTTGTCACGTAGCCAGTATTCAATAATATCTTCCACATTTCCCCCGTCTTCTTTTAATAAAAACAAATTATTTTGTGTTTTATGGATCATGCGTATAACTATATTCTGTAGATAGGCTACAAAACAGGGTAAAAACAATATAATCAACAAAACCATCAATCCTATACCTATTGCATATATAATCAGGGTCTTAAGCCAGGGACCAATACCGAGAGATGATAGCCAGGTATCAAGCGGGTTAGTTGCAACAGTAATATCCTTAGTGTGATTCTTAAGCCATTGCAATTGCTTGTGAATTGATTCTGAATTAGAGGAGAGATTAAAACAACACATGCCCTCAAAATCTTCACGACCATGTCCATGAGCCAATAATAAAAAATCAATAGCAGCTCTATTTTCAAGTATCTGATGTCTGAGATTTTCCATGTCCTGTGCTAGTTCACTCAATATCTGTGTTGTTACGTTTGATTGCTTAACCATCCAGCATGCTAGTGTATTTATAGTACGAAGCGCATGAGCAGCACCTACCCCTGGAACAATTGACGCAAAAAAGTTAGCCGTGGGTCCCCAGAGTTCTACTTGATCACTACAGTCGGGTGTGAGGGTTGCTACAGCTCGCTTATCACGATGTGTCTTATTAAAAAGGAATTGTGATATTACAGTAACATTTGGTGCGAAAAGAGTCAATTTTCCCAGATAACATGGACCACCACGAGCATGCCTAGGTATTCCTTGCCATGCTCGATCACCGCAAATCAAATAGGTGTTGCCAGGCAATGCCTTTGCACTGTCATTAGCCCAAATCTTTGTGTCATTTTTTCCCCCAACCATAGGTTCTATAATCGCCACACATATATGTTTCGTTCCAAAAGGGATAGCTCCTGGGTGTAAGCCATAATGCAGGATCATTGACATTTTGCTTATAATCACCCAGTTCAACACATCCTGATTCATTTGCTGAACTATTCAACATTCTGCTACCTAAAAAGCCCGATTTCTTGAGGATCCCAGGGTAATGTTTTGTTTAATGCAGCTAATAATTTGGCTGTCCATTTACTGCTGTCATCTAACCTATTGCATGTGGCAGTGGATAGCTTTGAAAAATCAGTTGTATTATATCCGGGTATTCCAACCAAACATGTACGAAAAGGATCAGTAGCAGAAGCCAATGCTAAGCAAAAGGAAGTAGTATGCGTTTTGTTAGCCCATGTTACCCATAAGTTTGGTGGAGAATTGAGATACATAGCAAAAACGGTATTATACACAAATAAGATGCAGTAGATCCAGGACCACACGATCGCAGTAATATTGGATCAGCTCTTCTTCAATCACCGTGCCTTTCTGTTGACTCCGTGGAACTTTGGGGATCAAGTACAGGTCTTGCCCATCTTGCAGGTATCCAAAGAGGTCCTGTAGGGGCAGAAACACAAAGATAGCCCCTCCCCCAAAATAAGACCTTTGCAGGTGTTTGCCGTACTCCTGTCTTAGGGTCCTTATACCGTACCCATATGGTACTAGTATCTTGACATTCAGATGAAGAGCTAGTATGTACAACTACGGGTGGATACTTTGCATCTCCAAAAACACACAAATGGTTAATTACGAATAAGGTTTTCAACAATCTTGAATGCGGATCAGCGATCTCTGCATGATGTGCCAAATGCTGTTTTAGGGTACCATGTGCCCGTTCCACTATAGCTTGTCCTGTGGGGGAGTGAGGAATTCCCGTGACATGTCTTACTCCCCATGTCTTCAAAAATCTATCCATCCTGTGGCTAGTATAAGCGGGACCATTGTCCGTCTTTAACTGCTTTGGGACTCCCATGACAGCAAAACAACTAAGCACATGTCTTTCGACATGCAATACTTTCTCTCCAGCTTGTGCCGTTGCCCAAATAAATTTACTATATGTATCAATAGATACATGCACATATTTTAAACGTCCAAAAGAAGAGACATGAGTAACATCCATCTGCCAAAGGTCATTTGAGACAAGCCCTCTGGGATTAACTCCCACTCCTAATCCGCAACCTCCATTATGGTTACTACAGATTGGGCAAGCTCCAACAATACTACACGCCTCCGCCATGGAGATCCCAAATTCGACATGCAGGCCTTTGGCATTTTGGTGGAAAACCGAATGGGCCTCTCTGGCTAAAACAGTTTTTGCAATGGGAACAGCAGTGAAAACAGAGACCAGCCTATCCGCCCTATCATTACCCTCTCCAAGTCCAATATTCCATTTATGACTTCGTATGTGGATTATAGAATAGGGATTTTCTCTAAGCTTCACTGCCTTTCTGAGTTGGATAAAAAGCTCATGTAACCTCTTATTTTGGACGTCTTTGATAAATGCATCCTCGATTCGCTCAACAATGCCCGTTACATAAAGTGAATCAGTTACAATATTTAGAGGCCCCATCAAGTTCATCATGGCCCATACGACGGCAGTCAGTTCCATGGTCTGTAAAGTATCCTCCTGTCTTGCGTGTAACAATTCCTGTTTCCATGAACCGTTGTCTTGCCATGTAACGGCAGCCCGTTGCGATTTACGTCCTGCATCAGTATATGCTGTTACCGCGTCTTTTATAGGGTTCTTTTCTCTTTTCGGGCATGTCATCCAGTTCCATTGCCCGATCCATCGTAATAATGGGGACTCAAAGCTATTAGTCTCAATCACACAACCAGCACCAAGCAACGCCTCTTGCAAATGTTCACTATTCTGTAGATACCATTGTAAAGAGTCTTTTCTTTGCATGGGTAAATATATTGTGGAAGGCTGGCAGCCTTGAACTTGTAAAATTCTTTCCCGTCCTCGTTTTATCAAATCCGCCAAAATTTCCACTTGTTGTACCAAGGTTTTAGCCTGCTGTAAAGCAGGGGATACCCATTCAAGAATACCCAATTCCCCGGTTTTCTTTAATTGCATGAGAGCTCCAATCAGGTACCGATGCCCTAACCACACAGCAAGATCAATCGGAACAGTAGCATCGAGTCGATGTACATGTCCTGTAATAGCGCGTTCTACAATTTGCTGTATGAGAGTTTTCTGATAAGGGGTAACTCTAAGTTCTATCGTAGGGTCCGTACCTTTCAATAATGGACGGAGTCCTTCTAGCAATTCATTTGGTATACCCACTATGGGCCGTAGCCACTGCAAGTCTCCTAAAAATCTTTGTGCATCATTAAGAGTCCGTAGTCGCGACTGCAACTGTAATTTCTGAGGGGACACAGTTTTGTCAGTAAGCACCCATCCTAAATATTTCCATGGTGACGACTGTTGAACCTTATCTGAAGAAATTACATATACTGTGGACACACTCGGGGGTAATGGGGTGCCTTGCAGCCAGTCAATTCCGTAAGTCTTATTCTTTTCACGAGCAGCAGATGCCTGTTCAGCTGCCCTTTGTTCCGCCTGATACTGCAATAACTCATTATGTACAGCCTTCCAGGGTTTTCCAAATATCTTAGCTAACTTATCCCCATCAGTTGCAGCCTCCCATAATTTATCACCCAATTTACGCCACTCAGATAATTCGTGAACAGTATGCGGGTTCTGAAAACAGCCCGGGGAGTGCCCATAAGCTAACAACCCAGGAAGATCCTTTTGTAAATCGATCTCCCTAATTTGTCTCTTTTGTAAGAGACAT